ATAATAATAATAATAGTAGTGATGATCGCACCCATACCTTCTGCGGCACGCCGGAGTACATGGCCCCGGAGCTCATTCGCCGCGCCGGCCACACCACTGCTGTTGACTGGTGGAGTCTCGGTGTGTTCCTCTACGAGATGGTCGACGGCATTCCCCCTTTTTACTCCACCAACACCCGGGAGATGTATGAGATGATCCTCCACAAGCCACTGGTCTGCCCCTCCTCCTTCTCACCCGAGCTGTGTTCCTTACTAGAGCGATTGTTGGAGAAGGACCCGGCAAAGCGAATGACCACAGGGGAGGAGTTCTGTGCCCATCCATTCTTTCAATCTATTGATTTTGAAAAGTTACTGCGACGGGAGATTAAACCGGCATTTGTGCCAGATGTGCGGCGGAATGATTTGCGGTATTTTGATAAGCGGTTTCTACAGGAAAGTACACGGGTGGCGCAGTTGGATCAACCATGCGATCCAAGTGATCCCGACAGTCGCGCCTTTGCGGGATTTGAGTTTAATGTAAATTCACCCACAGCCGCACATACACCAGTGAAGAAGAAGAAGGAGGAAAATACGAAAAGTGGTGGAGAAGAAGAAGAGGAAGTAAAAGTAGAAGGAGAGTAAAGAAAGAAAACAAAGAGTGAAATATATATATATATATATATAAGAATTTATTGCTTGTGTAAAAGTACTTCCATTGGGATTAACACCAAATATCTGGAGAACCCCCCCAAAAAAAAACTCTATATACAGTAAGGGATTACTGTGCTTGTAAGTGAAAAGAATAAACCTTTTTTTCATTTTTTTTTTCTTTTCTTTTTCATTCCCAAACACACAACTTAAACACTTATTCCAAAAGAGAGTGAGAAAAGAGAACGGGAGGTGAAATAATAGCAGTTAAATAAGTGAAGAGATGAATTGGGGAAACAAACAAAAAAAAGAAAAAAAAAACCGAAAATTAAACAAACAAAGTATGAGAGAATGATAACATAAGAGGATTGGAAAGAACAAACATGTGCTTAAAAGAGGGGAAAGATTAACAAGCAGAGAGACAGAATAAAAACAAAGAACTTTTCTTCTTCCTTTTTATTATTATCATTTATTTGCTCTCTTTATATATATATTTATATATACATATTTCTCATATCCATATGATAACGGTCTTTAGGGACATTGGTGCTTTTTTTTTTTTTAATTTACTTCCTTTCTTTATTTTTGCCTTTATTTTCACTTTTTTTTATTTTGGTTTCTTTTTCCTTTTTCTTTTTCTTTCTTTTTATTTATTTCTCCCTTTATATTTATTCAGTTTTATGATGATATCAGTATGAGTGCCACTACTATTATTGCTACAAGTGTGACTAGGCATATAATTATGTCAATGATAAAATGACTGCAAATTCAACGTTTCTTATTTATTTATTTATTTATTTATTTATTTATTTTTCTTTTTCTTGGTCTTTACATTGCTTGTTTGCGTCTATATTCCTTCTTCATTATTCTTTCTTCTTTTTCTTCTTTTTTGTTTACTCTATTTATCTATTTTCTTTTGTGTATAATAATAATAAGGTGTATTTCTTCTTCTCTTCTCTCTTCTTCCCTTCTACACGTGTGTGCGGTATTGTGTGAAGGGAAGTGAGGGCACACCGCACACCACACGTGGAGAAGAGAAAAAGGGATTCCAAAACAGCGGCTGTAGGGAGCAGCGAGTGAGAAGAGAAGAGTAAAGTAAAGAAAGAAGAACGAATATTAAGAGAGAGAGAGAGAGAGAG